CTGTAAGTTAAAAATTTATAATCGTTAGTTAATTAAAAATTTTAATTACATTTAAAACTTTTATTTAATCGAGCTCAAATGGAAACAATATTTCCAATTATAAGCATTCTAATTTCTAACTGCAATCATCATCTGCGTATTTAAAAGAGCTTAAAAAGCATTAATTCATCATTGTTAAAATGAATACAATTTTTTATTTTAACCAGTATATACAAATATTATGATGACTATCAAAAATGTTTTCTTATATCATATTATTCACTTAATTTTAATCTTCTATTCATATGTTTTACTGACGTATCATGTTAAAATAAAATTATTAACAATGGTAATTTAAACAGGGTTAAACCTTTGTCAGAAACTGGTTACCACAATCATTGGATGAATCTAAGAGCTGAATTATAATTTAATTTAATTCCAAGTTGTAGGTAGAGAAACTTAAAACTTTGAAGTGAACTGAGTCGCAATCTTCAATTAGCTTTGAAACTATATGTATATAATACACCGAAATAAAACATTATCAAACTATTGTCTGAATTAGAGATTTTAAGTATATTGAAACATTCCACTAAAATTAAGTACTTTTTACATTATGAACTGAGATAGTTTTACAGTGTTTTTAATTATATTGAATGGCACAAATAAGATAATATATCTAATAAATCCAATTCTTTGATTTTTATATACCCTATCTATTGTCTATAGAATATATTAAAATGGTACATTTAAAAAGACATTTTTGAAATAATTTCATCCTTGCAAATCGAAAGACTGATAAAAAAAAAATAAATATTTTAACTAGAGTTAATTAAAAATGTCATTAAATAGTGAAGTTTTTTTGATATCTTCTCAATAATTTTTATAAGATTAAATAAATAAGATTTAACTTTAGAAAATTGGAAACATGAAAATAAATAATACTACATAAAACATATTGATAGTTTTTTGATTATAATGGTATTTTATGAACGTTCCAAATTTTAATTACAGTAAAATATTTTTTCTACAAAAATTGTATTTCTTTCTTTTTTTATTATTGATCGAAAATAAACATTGACAACACGGAGCATTAGTCACTACATAGTATATTTTACATTATGGTTATGAATACAAATATTTTAAAACAAAATTTTAAATACAGTTATATAAATTAGTTTGTTACAGCAAATTGATTAAATCAATGTTCATGATTAAGTTGGTCCAAATAAACAATTTTTATTTATATAGTTGTATACCTATAACTATATATATATATATATACATTCATTTATGATGAGTATCTACAATTTTAAAGTTTTTGTTCATAAATATGAAGAATCAAAAACTATTACAGAATATTTATCATGACTCTACATCATTTTTATTTATCCAATATAACATACAATATACAAATATATTATATAATAATATATTATTTATCTACTATAAATACACATTTTCTCATTATTTTTTAAAATCAGTCATATTTATTTATAAATAATATATCATCTCTTTCGCAATCTAGTGTCCAGTGATCATCAAAATTGAAAACTGTGGTTTTTTTTTTTTAGTCTTATTGAAAAGGCTTTAATGCTTGAAAGGACGTACGACGTAGACTGTTGCAATTTCCTGTATATACTATCGCAGTACATTCTAAAGATACTATGCCGTCAGCACTATATTAATTTACGTCAATCATTAAATTTCAGTAATCTGACGGCTTTAATTCAATCGTTGTTATATTTCCAAATCTCAAGATGATAAAATTGATTTCACTCAAATATAATCGACATGAACATATTATGGACATGAACACACATCATAAGACAATAAATGTATAATAAATAGTTAAATGAGTCAACCTATATCAGTATGCTTATTGTTTACTTTTTTCCCTTTTTTACAATACATAATAAAATTAATTAATTAAAATTCTGTTTTTTGAAACTTTCTTGACGTGTAAAATTTGTCTGAGTATTTTAAATATCAGATTAAATAATAAATATTTTAATATTTTATGTAAAATTATCATTTATAATTATTGCAAGACATTTTATTCTATACGTAATTCATAATTACTGAAATATCACGTTAAAATTTCAATTAAATTGAAAAAACAATTTCAAAAATCATCTATTTGACAATTTACTGTAAAAAAAAGTTTTGTACTCATTTAAAATAAAAAAGTTTGTAGCACACTTTTATTGTATTATGATAGAAAAAATAATATTGTCTTTAAAAAGTAGGTATACTTGAAAACTCTAAAAACCAGGATTTAAATAAATGTATTATTAAAGATGAAAAGCTGGTTAAAATTCTTAGTGAATCGACCTGAATATAATATATTATATGAATACATTATATATAAAGGTATGTATAGAATTTATACAGCTGATTCTCGGTAACTCAAAGTTTGGTTCTTCGAAATATCTTAAATGTATACAATTTTCCTTCGAACATCGTAACATTAAATTAGTTTTCGACATATCAACATTTTTAATAACACGAGTTTTCTTCTTGAACTTCGATCTTTCAAGAGTTCACTATAATTTTAATTTTCTCAATGTATTTATGAACAAATTAATATTATTTTTTAATTGAAAAAAAACTGAACATATATTATAATATTTATAATATTTATTTATAATAATAATAATATAATTTATAATAATAATATTTATTTACGTTTTATTAAAATAATATTTGGTTAGTTTTTGATAGTAATAAAAATATTTCTGCATTTGTCAATTCATTTTTATGCCATAAATAATTTAAATAGAACCGTTGATCTAACTTCATTCAACAATTTTAAAATAAAGAGACTAAATGAAATAGAATAAGATAATCTTTACGTAATAAAATAAGAAACAAAGCAAAACAAAGACTTTGATTTTAAATGCACCATTTACCATTTTAGAGAAACATTCCCGCTACTTGACGATTATATTGAAAATGAATATTTGTACTTAATAAACTATAATTAAGATATTTATTGCTTTAATACACTTAAAGTTCAATAAGAAAAACCAAAAAATTACTTTAGAACTAATTTCAACTTGATTTTGCCTTAAAATTGTATTAATTATAATAAAAAACCCAATAAATTTTCTAAAACATTTAAAAATGCGTTAATTAGGTTATAAACATTTTTTGAATAAACTTATTAAAGGTAAAATAAGTTTTAAAATTATTACAAAATATTAAATAGAATAAGAAATTTTTTTAATATTTACTTGTTAAATTTATTCGCACAGTAATATTACAAACTAAAATAATTTTTCTACGTGTATTTATTTTTTTTTCTAAAATATTCGGAACAATGTCAGATTAACGACATACTTTTTTAAATACCCCTAATATGTATTTAATCTATTTCCAATCAATTCTATTTTGAAATTAAGTCTTCTTTATTAAAAATAATAATTTTTATTTGATATTTTATTTCTAATGTCAGCCAGATAAGATAAAAAATATATCATTTAATCCTAGTAAAAAATACAAAAAGTTAATCAATGCTAGCAATAATTTTACTGATCAAAATAAATCATTAATTAAACTCATGAACAATATTTTAAAATTGGTTATTCAAAATGTATCAAAACATTTTAAATAAGTAAATAAGTACAAATATTATAAAGTTTCTGTTACGATTTTGACTGATTTATTTTTTTATGTTTTCGTAAATCATGCTGTCAAATTTATAAAAAAGATAAATTAAATCTCAAGTTTTTTTTATCTTCTGTTGGATTATTATTATTATTTATTTTTATATTTTATTTGAATGTAAATCTATAAATAATTCTACAGCATTTTAGGTACACACTATTTCAATCAGACTATTTTATTGATAAATCAATACCTGTTTTTTTTTTTTTTTTTAACCAAAACAATATGTTGTTTATATTATGGTATACATATTACATATAATATAAACACATAGGAAGTTAGGGATTTAAATGAAACAAATAAAAAATAAATATATTGCTTAATTGTATAAATATAAAAAAAATGCAATGTTCATAATGTATCAAGATCAATTAATAATACAATGCATCAAAAAATGAGGTAAACGTACATTTTTTCATTTTTTCATCAATATTTTTTGAATTTTTAACTAAATATTTTTTTTATTTATTTATTAATATTAATATTATTTTTTAAATATCGATCACAAATAATGAATCAAAAAAACGAATTAACTTTCGTCCGAATAAAATATAAACGTAGAAAAAAATAAAAAAGAAAGTAAAAACATTTAAAGTTAAATTGAAAAACCATTAAACAAAATCCATTATTAAACAGTTGAAAGAAAAGTGCTGAAAAATTGATTCGTATAGTAGGCACTTAATGTTTATATAGATATATTGTTATAACTGATATTTTAAATCATCAAACTTTAAGCTTAAATAATTTATGTTCTTAAGTGATACTTGAATTTATATTTCATTAAATTATCTCTAAAATGAAATAAAGAACATTATTATAACACCTACCAGGTATTGTTTGGTCTACAATCTAAACAAATTTAATTCATCTTATATATTTTTTTATAATGTAATTATTTTTTTGTTTCATTTTGTCCCAAATTAAACAAATATTAAAAGTAAAAATTACTTTTTCTAGACTTAATACAATGGATTTATTTTAACTCTAATAAATAATAAACCATACATTTTTTTTTTTTTATTAAGTCTTCTCCAGTAAAGAGCATATTGACACTTGGCTTCATTTGATTTATAGTGCCAAACTTTTTAAATCACGCTTTGTATGCTGTTCAGAATATTTTTTTTTTTATATATAAATTGCTTATTTTAATTATTTTGACATAATTTTTACAATATTATCAAATGTTTTTTTTTTCTTTTGTCGATATATTATTATCAATAAAACAATAAGAAGTTCGCTTCATTTGACCCATCTCAAGTCTATTTTATTTAAATAATTATTTTTTGTATCTACATGATAATTATAAAAAAAAAAAATATTTATAATATTTATAAAACTTTGATTTTATTTTTCAGAGATTTTGTAATTTGCGTGGTTGGAGTGGTGATTCGGAAAAAGTAGAGAAGACCCGATCATGTCTGCTCAAGGTTTGGGATGGTTTACAGTCTGGTGCTGATAAAGATCAGGATGGTCAGGTTAGAAAAATTTAAAATAATTTAATACAATTTCTAGTTAATATCACAATAAACTTGAAAGTATTTATAACTGTCACAGTATTGAGTATGTATTGTCTTTAATGAATAATTATAACATAACAAATAATTAAAGAGTTTAATATTAAATTAATAAACTATTCACAGAACAAAAAATTAAAAACTTAACTAAAATAATCTTATCGTACGTGATAGACGAAAGAACTATTGTTTACTTTGGTCTTTCATAACATAAGACAGGAAATAAGTAATAAAAAATTATAGTTTTATACCTATATTAGTTTTTTTTAAATATTATGTTGTTTTAAAAAGATGCATTTTCCCGGCACCCCCACCTCCGAATTTCGGATTCAAACCAAGGGCTTTCGTTTGTGCTACGTTTGTGCTGGATTGTGCTCGAATTTCATCGTTTGTGCTGCAACCCTTCAGGAGTTATAAGGGATTTCTTTTGGGGGTGCTGGCGAAACGACTGCACCCCCACCTCAGAATTTTCAAATTTAAATTATGCCATTCGTTTGTGCTACGTTTGTGCTGGATTGTGCCCGAGTTTCATCGTTTGTGCTACAACCCTTCAGGATTTATAAGGGATTTTTTGTGAGGTCATAACGCACCCCAAATTCAAAATTTTAGAACTCCAAATGAGCCATTTTATGTTGACACACTACCATTAACAATTATTAATCCAAATCAGTCACGTTGGTTTTGACATTGTTAGTGATTATTTGTACTCTTTTTCCCATCGTTATTGCTTTACTCGTTATTCGTAAAAAAGTTTTTAATCTTTTTTATAAGTAGGTGCTCTGGAAATCCTAAAACGAGTACAGCCCCTAGAGTTTTGTCGGAAACTGTTTGTTATTAATAGGTAAATGTTCTATATGAGTCTTTTGATTATTTCTCGTAATTTTTAGGTTCAAATTTAACTTTACTCTAGAAGTTTGATTTTTGTAATATTTACGTAAATCAGCGGTTGGTAACCCGCAGCCGGTGAAGCAATTTTTCATTACCCACGCGTTAATTTTTGTTCAATAATATTTTTCATATAATTTTTAGTATTAATTAATTCTTTTGGCTTTATAAATAAAAACTAGTCTAATCGTTAATACTTAATGTTTATACTATATAGTTAATTTACAAGTGGGAGGTCATTGAACTTCAAAATAACAAAGTTTTAAACAATTTTTTTTTGAGACGCAATTCGCTTGCTTCAATCAATTGAATTTATTTCAGTAAATATAATTATTATTTGTGTGTACCTATAACTGTATTATTGATATTAGTTATTTTGTTATTATTAATAAAAAAATTGTCATTAAAAAATTTATATAAAATAAATAAAATATATTTATATTTAATATAATTTTTTTTTATTAATAACAAATAATTAATTGTTATTTATTCTTATTTTTTTCCAGACAACATAAGATAATAAATGTTTCCTCTATCTGATATTATTTTGAGAATTTCGCTATTAACCTAATCATTTTGATAATCTCAACAAAAATATATTATCTTGTTTATCAATGACATTTTTTTTATTACATTATTCATTAAAAGCCAAGTTAAACGTGATAAACATTACGGAATGCTGTAAACCTATATTATTATAATAATAAGATAGTTTACAAAGACGGCCTTTATAAAATAAATTATAAAAAAGAATTTAAGGAATAATATATGGTCAACATTAGATTATTATAAGTACAACAGTCACAGTTTCACGTCTGTCAAATGTAACTGACAACCAATACTTAATTAGTATACGTACATAAGTACATTTCAAAAGTACGATATATGATAATATTTCGTATCAGTTGGCCAGGTATCTAGACTATTGTGATGCATTACTACTTGTGAGAATACAATAGGTAGATACAGCCATACTTATTGGTATGGATAAAGAATATAGTTACGTACATACCAAAAAATATTGATAAACATTAAACCATTATTAACTACAAAAAAAAATATACTTTTTATACAATAGTTAATACGTAGGTAGTTCATAATAACACCTATGCCTAAAAAAATGTCAAAAACTTAATACAACTCACATAAAATGAATATATTATAATGATACCAATCATGATCAACGATCAACGCAAAATAAAAACCTATTTCATATTATTTACTATTCAGTATTCTATAAATTCTTATCTGATAATTAAAATTAAATTTCTTGTAATAAAAATAATATCAATATGACAACCATTAATAATTGATTAATTTTATCCGAAATAGCAAAATTCTCAAAATAATATCAGATAGAGAAAATATTTATTATCTATATTGTCTGGAACATAAGATATAACTAATATCAATAATACAATTATAGATACATACAAATAATAATTATATTTACTGAAATAAATTCAAATTGTAAAATATTTATCGCAAACGAATAGCATAATTTAAATTCAAAATTTCTGGTGGTGGAGTCGTTAATTATATTAATTATTATTGATTATTAACAAATACGTATAACTATTATGTAACTTAGAAAACATAATTATGTTTAACAAAATATATTTTAATATGTAACATCTTTAAACAGTTGTACAAGTGTTTCTGTAAATAAGTATCTTGTAATTTGTAACTACACAAGTATGCTAAGATAGTTACAAAAATAACAATATAATTTAATATTTAATTTATTGAAGTCAATATTTATTACTATTTACTACACGACTTTTAAAATACTTACTTAAATCTCTATCCATATATTGAGAAGTGTTGGGTAATAAATAAAAATCAAACCTATAAACCTAAAGAGAACAGGTCAATAACTGCTTTGTTAAATTTTAAACTCTATTTATTTTACATTTTTGTAATTTTGGTTTAATTTTAACATTCAACGTTAAAGATACAGATTATTTTGTAAAGTAATATATCTATTAGGCGCTATTTAGTTATATATCGTAGTAGATGTTCACAATAATTACGATTACTTATAACCTTTTAACTAAATGTAGTCATATTTTTCAATTTTCATCAAGACCATACATTAAAATTACATACGATATAATATTATATAACAATTTTATTGCTATTACATTTTATCGTTTTACGTGGAAATATGAGTAAAAAAAGATACAAATTCTACTAGAAAAAATTTTAAATTTGTAAATTATGCGATTTCTGTGCTTGCGGTTTATTAGTTAATTTTTCGATATCAGCTAGCTTGAAAACTTTCTGTTAACTCGTAATACGGCGTGTAAGCATTTATAACTAAGGCTTGAGGAGTGCTTATTTTTCTGTACTTCCCAATAGAAAATGTCTGCTTACATACATATGTACTTGCAAACGTCACTATAAGTTTTTGTGCCAATTGTCTGATTCCCGGAAATGTAGACATACATAAAGACAACTATAAAATTGCAGCAAGCGTATTGCGTCTCAAAAAAAAATTGTTTAAAACTTTGTTATTTTGAAGTTCAATGACCTCCACTTGTAAATTAACTATATAGTATAAACATTAAGTATTAACGATTAGACTAGTTTTTATTTATAAAGCCAAAGGAATTAATTAATACTAAAAAGTATATGAAAAATATTATTGAACAAAAATTAACGCGTGGGTAATGAAAAATTGCTTCACCGGCTGCGGGTTACCAATCGCTAATTTACGTAAATATTACAAAAATCAAACTTCTAGAGTAAAGTTAAATTTGAACCTAAAAACTACGAGAAATAATCAAAAGACTCATATAGAACATTTACCTATTAACAACAAACAGTTTCCGACAAAACTCTAGGGGCTGTACTCATTTTAGGATTTCCAGAGCACCTACTTATAAAAAAGATTAAAAACTTTTTTACGAATAACGAGTAAAGCAATAACGATGGGAAAAAGAGTACAAATAATCACTAACAATGTCAAAACCAACGTGACTGATTTGGATTAATAATTGTTAATGGTAGTGTGTCAACATAAAATGGCTCATTTGGAGTTCTAAAATTTTGAATTTGGGGTGCGTTATGACCTCACAAAAAATCCCTTATAAATCCTGAAGGGTTGTAGCACAAACGATGAAACTCGGGCACAATCCAGCACAAACGTAGCACAAACGAATGGCATAATTTAAATTTGAAAATTCTGAGGTGGGGGTGCAGTCGTTTCGCCAGCACCCCCAAAAGAAATCCCTTATAACTCCTGAAGGGTTGCAGCACAAACGATGAAATTCGAGCACAATCCAGCACAAACGAAAGCCCTTGGTTTGAATCCGAAATTCGGAGGTGAGGGTGCCGGGGAAATGCATCTGTTTTAAAAATAATTAACTTACTTAATAGCTGTTAATACTTTTAAGTAATATACATAATTTGAGCTTCTTAAATAACTTTTAAGGTGTTAATTATGAAAATATTTATATTTAAAATTATTATACTATCTAATTTAAAATTTAACTAGTTAATGGGCTATATAAAATATATATATTATGTATGTATTTATCTAAAATATCAATGTCGATGATAATATCATTTCCTAATATTTATGGATTCTATGCCATAATTTCATGATTTTTTATTTTAATCTATCCATTTTACCATAATGAATCTTTTAAAATAATTTTTTAATCAAGCTAAATAATGTAAATAAGCTTTAAAAAATAATTAATTGAATAATTTTAACTATTATTTGATACTCTATAAAATAAAATTCATTTCGATGCAATTTTTTTAATACATTATAAAATCAATATTTCGTGTGTACAAATGAATGAACAGAAAATGTCTAATAGAAATATTTTATATTGTTCTAAAACTTGTCTTTAACATTTTAATATGAGTATTTTTTATCTGTGGCTTTTTATGAATTTTACATTAGTTTATATATATAAACAATATAATGATGTATTTTATTTATGAACTTAAAAAAGACAAAAAGATACTAAATTCAAGTATTGATTCTTGTTTCAATTTCTTTCCTATGGAAGATTATAATTTTAAATTTTTAAATTAAAAATAATAGGAAGTCATAACTCATAGTCATAACGTTTGGCCAATAATTTTAAGCAAATAACATTAATACCTTAATACTATAGTATTCACCAAACATTCTCATCCTCATTTTTCTTTATTTAGTTAATATATTTAAATTCAATTTTTTTAACATTAAAAATATTTATACGGAAAAAAATTTTATTTTAGATATTTCTTTGTAATTTTAAGATTATCCTATACCCTTCTCTTTTACTGTAAATCAATAAGCATTTTTTAAATGTCGATGTATATAAATCGAAATGTTAACAAATAGTTTCAAAATTATAAAACTTAATGTATTAATAGTCCATGATAATAAGTTTAAATAATATATTTGAATATGATTATTGAAGAGTTCAAAATTATAGCAATTAATATTAATATTTTAAAAATTTCTATTTGTTGAAATAATAAGTTATAATAAGTATTATAAGTGCCTAACCTACATTATTATTATCCTTATTAGATAATACATTTAATATTTAAGAAACTTCTTCAATAGTATAAAAATTAAAGTATCTAAAATAAATATGATCAATAAGTATATTTTAAAATTCTTTTGTTCAAAATTAGAATAAATTCATTACTAAATAAGGTGAGCATGTAAAGTCCATTATTTTATGAAGTGTTTATATTTATTCTATAGGACGTTTTTAACATTTTAATTTCATAAAATAATAATTAAATAATTAAATTTAGTAAGTAATGAACTACCTACTGAATATTATACGATGTTAAGTTGAAAGTTGTATAAAATCTTAAATTAAGTCAATATCGTTTAGATTTTATCTACTTTAAGTAAATTTAAACTCATGTTAACAAATATAAATCAAATAAACACTTAGCTATAAATATTATAATGATTTTTATAATTTTCTGGTAAATTTTTTCATACGCTCACTATAGTCAAATAATAATTTTGAATTATCAAACAAATTTAAAACACATACTGATAGTTTAGAGAACGTACAAATAAAATAGAAATGTATACAAGTATGACGTATTCAATTTATATTTGTCCAATAACACTTACAAAGTTGACGATTAAATAATCTAACTTTAAATATTTGATCAATATGTATAAATATGAGTATGTAACTACATCAATATTCTAAAGTTAGAAAAACCAGAAAATCTCAAAGGAAGTAAATGGATATCGAGTTATCTTTACAATAAATCATGTTTTCAGCTTTCCCTAGGTAGACAATCGCAATAAACGAAAGAACAATCAGCAGTAAAAATACATATACATACAAATGCAAAACCACTCCATTTGTTTGTTCACAATCATTTCATTGCACATACACATAGCTTTTATATGTATCGGTTTTATTTTATTTTCTAATATTTTTTTTCACATATAGGTGACACAAGACGAATGGTGCGCAATGTGGGACGAATTTTCTAAAAACCCAAGTGCACCTCAAGAATGGCAAACACATTATATGAATTTCATGTTTGATCTAGTCGATACTTCAGGTTATAATTATTTGTAATTGTAGACTAGTATACATTACATTTATTGAATTTAATATTTTATTTAATCTTTAATTTGATTGAATTTGTGTGATTTAAATTAATATTAAACTTCTTAAACAAACATTGAATACTGTATGGCTTTATAATGTAAGTATAAGCTATCAACTTGAATTGTTAAATCCTGGTTAAAACTGTAAAATAATTTAATATTTCAATAGTAACCATTAATTGTATTTTTACCTAAGCAGAATATTTTTTGTCTTAATTTTATTCAAGTAAAATTTTTACAAATCATTTTTTATTTATTCAAACATTTGAATTTAAGTAAATCAATCAAATAAGAATTAACTATAGTATACAGTTACACCTCATTATTCTCACTTTAACTCTTTTTAACTTTATACAATCTAAAACTATAATCTAGTAGTTTTTCCATTGTAATTTAATGTAATTTAATTGCAATATGGAAATAAATTATAATTTTTTACTGTAAATTTATAGTGGAAATGTATGAGAAAATTAAATTAGATGTACTAAAATTTACAAAAATACGTTTTAATAATTATACATATAAATATCAAAATACGTAACATTTATTGTCATAAAAGATTTGAACATAGAAATTAATCACCTGGTAAATAATTATCGTTTGTTAAAAATCCCAATTCGATTTTCATAAAATAACGGGCAAAAATATTTATTTTAATATTATAAAAATGTAAAATAGTCAGGGAAAAAACATCATTTAAGGTATAGAACAAGTTTTTCTGTGATTTCACGAATTTCTTCACGAATGAATCTATGATTTTACTGTCATTTTACATATCTTTTAAACTGTGAATTATGGCATTATTTAAACTTGGAACAACAAACATAGGTACAGAAATAATAGCGGTGTAAAATGAAATATTTGACCTTTGTTTGAAAAAAAATGGATTTAAAAATATATAGCTTTAGTAAAAGGTGACAGCTGATGTTGACAGAAGAAAAATTATAATAAACAAATATTAATTTTTAGGTAGTATAACTTTTTGTAAAATTCATGTGAATTTACACAATTCAGTATAAACACATCCAGTCTGTTAAAATTTTAATTTTGTTAGTACAAACAAATAAACTTTAAAATTAATTCTTTTACTTTAATCATACTGAACTAATAATAATAAAAAAAATATTTTTATTTTACTTTTTCTGCGACTCTTGTTGTATGTTATTTTAACTAGCATATAGCTACTATTGGTTTCCTTAAAATTATTGACAGATTTGTGATGATTTTCAAGGAAGTTCTAAATATAGCATAGCATATAGAATACAAATTAAAAAATAGAATTATGTTTCTGTTAATTGTCAAGAAAAAATTATATTTCATTACAATTTACTATGAATAATATATTTATAGATACATACAAATTATGTACACAAGTCACGATGTAATAAATTATAGTTTGATCTTTATTTTTTTATCTTAATATTTGTTAAAGTTTGAATTTTTTAAATTATTAACCTTTTACACAATTTACATGTTCTGAAGTAGATTATATTTTGAAAATGATTACCAATATAATATGTACCTAGTTTATTATTTATAAATTATAAGCATCTGAAGTTATGGGTACCTACTGGAATAGTTTTTAAAGATTGGTAGGAATATCTCTACGATCTTAATTTCCCACTAAATGTCTCTATTTTACTTATAATTTATAAATAATTAACTATTGGTTTATATACTCAATATATTTTAAATTTAGGTAACCAATACAAATTTTTAGAAAATATTTTATTCGTTGCCGTAAAAAAAAAAATAGTAAAACCCTTTAGAGCTGTTGGATATATATAAATAAGAAAACTAACTACCGAGAGAAAGATCTTGAATCTTCACAAATGAATTATATCTGTGAATATTATTCACTGGTGTTAGATTTTTGGGTATATTGAATATAGGAGTAGTTCTTAACCTTTTTATGTTCGCGGCGTATTTCTTATAATTATACAGTTTGACGGAACACTATAGTAATAAAATAATAAAAAGCAAAAAAAAAGGCATTTTTATTTTTATTATTAATATATTATATAATTAAAAATTAATACCTAATAACACTATACATATGTACCATGGTCGCGGCACACTTGTGTGCCACGGAACACCGGTTGAGAAACACTGGAATATAGTATTAAGATAAATAATGAAATTTTACTAGTTATTAGAAGTTGAACAAGTTAATTCAGTCTTTTCTAAACATAAATATTTTAGTTTCTTTCATGATTTTTTCTAAATTTATTTAATTCAATTTAAGACTTTTACCAACCATATGTTAATGAGTATTAACCAGAAGTAAAATATATCTTTAGTTAGGTAGGTAGTAGGTACTTATACTAATGATGAATTTCAGACTCTTCGTTTTATTTTTTACATTACTCACATTTTAATATAACATGTATTTTTAACAGGCTTGTTAATTGTTGAATTAACTAAAAAAATATTATGTGCTTCTAATTATGTAGAAACACCTACATTAAATAATTATACAATTAAATATAAATATTAAATTAGGTAACGTTAAGCTTATATACATAGCCATTCACGAAATTATTATCATATATTATTTTTAAATCACTGGTAAGTTATAAGTCTTAAAAAAAGATCAATAATTTTATTTCTAACATTATAATAAATTTATTTATTTTTTTACATATTTTTTATTATTGAAACGAACATTTATTGGTCTTTTTGAAATTTACTGACAGAATTCATACTTTAAAATCAACGACGAACACGCATTTGTGAAGGTTAGCGTTTGTCTAATTCAAAACAAATATAAAATCATACAATTATAACATACGCATGTATGAAGTTACAAATCCGTTGAAATGATTCCTGTTTTTAATCTAATATATTTTATTAAACAAACCTTAATGACTTCAGACATTTGAGCCGTTAGGCGTTAGTAGCTGAATGGTTGCTGGATTCATGTTTAGTTCTAGTCTTGTGTTGATTTATGTATCTAAAATGTATAAGCTTAAAAATATTTATTAAAATAATATAATAAACATTTTTAGTATAACAACCTAATTGATTTATTAATATAGTAAAGTATATTATATATATATATTACTCATAAGTTATGAAAAAAAAACAAATGATTTAAATATAGGAGGCCACAATGTTTAAATTACAAAACTTCGCAATTCACCAATAATTTTTTTAGTTAAAACAATCTTAACATTTTATCAAAATATTTTTTTTTATATTTTGACGAATCGAGATTGTAGACAACATAATACATATATTATTAAGTGTTAAATAAACTTTTTAGAGTTCAAATCTCTTATCCAAAGCACTAAACTTATTGTAAACCTAAATAAAAAAAAATATTTCCCAACATTTACTCAATTTTTTATTATTTACGCCATTTAATTACTAAAAAAATATTTAGGTAATGCATCATATATACATTTTTAATTTTTAAACTTAAATAGTAATTTAAATTTCAGACTCTGTATATCAATTTAAAGATACTAAAATGAATTCAATATTCTCTTAATACAAATCTATATATATATTTTTTTTAATTACTATTTAATTATACATTACATTTTATAAGAAAAAAAGAATTTTAAAATAACAAAAATGATTAAAACGGTTAGTCAGATTTTTTTAATTACAATAAATATATAATTATGGATAAATTTGAAAAAAACAACATATTAATTATTTATAAAAACTTATATGATAATAATTCAGTATTAATTCACTAGTTTAAAGATATTTAAATTTCTATTTAAGAACAATTTAGTTTACTGTCTATACATATAATGACACACATTTATCTATGTTCATTGTTCAATAATATGCTTTAATTATTTATATCTTAAATATACAATACTCATGACGTGTATTAACTACTGTTTACAAAAAGCATTTTGTAATTTAATATAAGAACCTTTCATTAAATTTGACAAAAGGGTTTTAAATAATGTTGTATACTTTTGTTTTACAGGTGACGGTTCCATCGACGAGGCAGAATTTTGCGAAGTTTGCCAAAACAACGGCGTGCCTGCTGTGGAAGCTGCAGACGCGTATAAGCGATTTTCAAAGGTTAGCCTACTACCTTTAACGATTTAATCACTAACTTTGTAGTAAGCTTTACTCCAGTCGTAATCTTACCGGAGTCCGGATGGAAATTGATATGACCGGAAGATTGTATAGCACTGCCTACGTTGATATGTCACAATGTTCGAGAATAATATTCTATCTAATTTTCCTATATTAGCTCTTTCCACTCTTGAACAAGAACAAAATAGATTTGACAGCAGAATATTAGTCGAATAGGTTTATTTATTAACGCGGATTAAACTTAAATAATCTCCATTTTATGAACTACTAATAATAATATTAATACGCCAACAATGAATTATTACATTCATCTGTATGCGCAAAACAACCATCAAAATTACAATAATAAAATTAATTTATATGTTAGTTTTCAAAGTTAAAATTTATGTTGTCGTTAAAAAGAAAAAACTTAAAATATTAAAACGATAAAAATTACAAAAAATATAGTTTTTTTCAAAAATATTGTTCTGTAATATTACAGAAGACTATGTGAAAATAGTATTTTCAAAAAATGTAAAACTTTTTAAATTAATAATTGCAGACACTTAAATACTTTATATATATATAATTCTCTTAAAACTGTTTGGAATTATTTTAATTATATTAACTGAAAGACAAATAATACTGACATTAACCCTACTGTGCATAATAATATGCGGTCATTTAAAACAATTTTAATTGCACAAGAATGTGCAATGTAACTGTGCTTTAAAATAATATGCCATCTAGATAATAAATTTTTATTTTACATTATAGTATTCATACCCATTATTTTTAACAAATTCCAACTCTTCACCTGTAATTAAACAATTCTTTATTGACAAAAAAAAAAAAAAAAACCACTTTTCGTCATAATTAAAATATTGTAACTAATTAAGTGTGTTTTATTTTATACATTTACACAGGCTGGAACAGTTCAAGTCTCTCGCGATGAATTCGCTAAATACTGGGTGGAATTTTTCTCCTCCGAAGATCCAATGGCATTGGGCAACTTCATTTTTGGCAAAACATCATTCAACTAAATAACAAAAAATTCGAAACACACATCGTATTTTTTGTATTACTTTTTTCTTTATAAACTAATACTTAAAATTGTGGTAAAAAAAAATCACATACATCAAGGATATTCAAACGATAAATCTTCATTAGATATCATAATATAATATCATATAATATATCATATTCTATTTAAATAGGTAAGTAGACTACAAACGTAGTTATTAAATTTTATCTAGTATTTAAATATACTATCTTAGTCAATTCTTCGTACGTATTTTGTTTAACTATTGTGATAAGATAAAATACGAGTATGATGTTCAATATATTAATTATAATATAACTAATAATTTTCAATATCTCATATTACAAGTAATATTAAACAACAATTATTATTATTATTGATTTAGACTCCAGATTAAAAGAATATTTCCATTTTGTTCGTGACTTAATCACACAAAAATAAAATCATGTAATATTATGCGTATTCATACTTAATATTAATTATTAAAATAATATTAACTAGCATATCGTACTTCGAACACATTTTTTTTTAACTTTTAAGCTTATACACATTTATAAACATGTTTTTATAACACGCAATTGGGGATTAATTATTATGTCAATAGTCGAAATTCAAAAAAAAAAAATATATATATATATATATATATGAGTACCACAAATTTCAGAAAAGTTGATTAATTAAATTGGTAAAGAAACAATAGCAATTTTATTTTAAAATGATCTCGTTGCCAAATAACATTATACTATATTAATATAGTGTAAGCTCAGGGTAACGATTTAATAATATATAAATCAATTCAATATATTTGTATAAAATCACAAATCTCATAAATCACACGTTATTCAAATAACAATAATATTATAGTATCATATACATAATTATTATAACAAATATCATTATTAAACTAATGAATGGAAATACAAATAATATGAAATCGAAAACAATAGTAAAACTAATATTACTCTATTATATATTAATACTATGTATGGCCAACTATATAGTGGCACAGTAGAAAGTTAATAATGGTATTAAAATTTGTGAAACAGTAAAAAAATAGAACATGTTTGTGCATATTCATTATAATTATATATATATATTTTTTTGTAATATCCTTTGTATTTCTCAGAAATGTAATACGTTTTAAAACGTATTGGCCGTCATTTCTGTAGTTTTTGATTCAAAAAATATACATACATAAATGTAACATTTACATCTCGTAGTTTTACTTTTTTTATATTATAAATTTTCAGGTGTCTCATCGGGGTTAACAGTAGTATTTGATATTTCCTGCCGATCAATGGATCTAGCTACCTGTCTAGCATGTACCTCATCCAATCGGTCAGATATCATATCACTCCTAGCATTAGTCTCACTCACCTAAAAACAAATAATTATAAACAAAAATAATTAATTTTGATATCTTACCCTATAAAATGTATGTGTTCAAATTATAAACAAAGATGAACTACATTAACATACAATGCCTACACGATGAAAAAGTATTCTCATAGTTATTTTCTTATCCGGCGAAGTGAGAAATATCCATAGAACAAAATGTAATACAATTAAGGTGAAAAATTAAAGTATAGATTATAAATGTAATCTAATGTGGTTATAGGCATGATTATATTATTTACATATTTACATATTTATATTTACACATTATAAGAGTGAACTTTTCAACCTACATTTAATTTTTTTTTCACCTTAACAGTTTGTTTGAAAACAATTCATTGTCATACAATGTACGCCTTCATTTAAATTTAACGGACAAGGTTTACTAAAAATTTAAAATAATATTTTTTAAATAGAAATTAAAACAGTTTAAAACTTACTATAATCTAAAAATGGCTATGATAGTAAAATGGTAAGTATATAAAGCCTGTATTGAAATTTTAAATACATAAATAAGAAAATATATTTTGTGTCTTTGTATGTTTTGTGTTCATTATGTTTATTCTTAGTGAAATAAATTCAGATGGGTAATATATTTTTTCATTCTATAATACGCATTCTACAGGAAATAATCTAAAGTTAAAAGGTAATAATTCTAATTTTATATCTTGTCTAAAACTATATTAATTGTATTTTACTTACTTGTCTGAATAATCCTAAACATTGTTCTTCCAATCTTTTTAATCTAGCTGCTCTACGTTGAAGTCTTTCTTCCTCATCGGGCCGTAATACAGCTGTATCTTCTTGCAGTCTTTCTTCTTTTTCAGTTCTTACAACTATTTCATCAGTTTGTAATGTATTGTTTCCGTGTGATTGTAAAACTATTGGTGTTGAAGTACTAGTTCCAGGTATTTCAACTAAAACTTCTGAAGAATCTTCATCCTCCGATGTAGTCCGTCGTCCAGATTTTCCGTATTGTCTTTGTAATTCTTCTAGCCGCTCACTTATAGAGTCACTAGTTCGAGAAGTACGTACTATTTGGTTGAGCAACGATCTACTCTGTTTCTCTAATCTTTTAATCCCAGTTGCTTCAGTATCTGTCTGGGGTTCGTCTATTGTTTCTGTTTCTGACATATCCAGAGATAACGTTTTCAACCAACTTTCATCATCATCACTACAAGCTCCACTATCGGCGATGGCCACTCGGCTCTCGTCATCTTCGAACCCGCTCTCTACTGATTTACTACATTTTCTCCGAGCAAATTCTTCTCGTAACGACTGCCAATCTTCTTGAGATTGAGTATTTTTCAATCGGGCTTGATCCCATTTCTCTCGACAATACTCTAGCTCCTGTTTAAGTTCAGTTAATACAGTTCTCTTATGTTGCAATTCGTATCTTAAAATCTGCTCATGAGTATGAAGTTTTCTATGTTGAGCATTAAGCTTAGCTACAGCATTCCACGCCTTACACAGTTCGGCGGATACAGTTGAAAGCCTTTGTTCCTGATGACTAAGTCTTGATTCCAAATGGTTGTTGAGAGTCTTCAATCTACCGATATCTTTCACCAAAGAGTTTTTTTCAAGGATAAGATCTTTAAGCTTCAAAAATGTTCTGCTCACAGAAGCAACCCTTGATTCATTTGGATCGTCTGGCTTAGCCTCATTCGCTGTTTTATTGTCATAATGACCCAACAATTCAACGAGTATCCTCCAAACTTTTGGTAGATTTGAAGCAATTTTTTCTCGATTTGACGTACATTCTACTTCTTCAGAACGCTCCAATGTATCCCCAGCAATATCCATTAATACAGAGGCCGTTTCATTGATGTCCCCGTTAAATGTCAAGTCAGATATCAACTCTCTATTTTCCTCTAACATCCGAGCAAATCTATCAAAGTCCGGTCCCTCATCACCAGATAATAAGGTAGAGAATAGATTATTAACTAGAGCCATTTGTGATGCAAGACTCATTCTATCTGCTGATGTAGTCATATATTTTGCTTTCATTTGTTCATATTCGATTTGCTTACCTTGAACATCTGTTTCAAGTTTTGCAATAAAGTCATTCATACCTTGCTTACTATTAAGTTCTTCTGCCAATTTTGCTTCTAACAAAGAGTTTTTAGCTCTCTCTTTATTAATTTCCCTTTCATGTCCCATAGCTGCTGCTTCTGCTCTTTCTTCGTAAAGCCGACGTAAATTCCTAATATTGTCGATTTGCTTTTGGTACTCTACTCGCAAGTCAGCCAAACATTCGTCAGCGTGTGATTCCATTTCTTGCAATCGTTTTTTTAAGTCAGTCACCTATTATAGACGTAGTTATCAAATATTGTTCAACACATTATGGAGTTTCATAAATACAATGAATTAATCACCTGTGCTTCTCTGATTTTCAACATATCATTGCTGATATTTGCTACTTGTTTTAGAGCTTTGACTTGTTGTTCTAATCCTTCTTTTTCTTTTTTCACCATTTCCAATTCTTCTTTACACTCCCTCAATCGATTCATCTCAGCTTTAATCGACGAGAGAGCGTCATGCCGCCGTTCGCGTATACTTGCCAAATATCTGTCGAACTCATCTGGGTCTTTGGCATCGATAGCAGTATTTTCAAAGGACTCGTCAACTAAATCCTAATAATAATAATATTAATTTAAATTAATTTTATTTGTAAATAGTACATTAGTATAAATTATTACTGGTGCTGTTAAAGCTGGCAAATCTGCCGGACGACTCCATATTGCGCCCATCTGAAATAGTTCCACTACAATAATAAATAAATAATAACTTGTATAATGATCTTATGAAATATTGAGGTATAAATTTATCAGAATTTGATAGGTCACTAAAAAAGCATAATTCAAAATCTATTTTTATTTCTAACCTAAATTAAAGAAAGTGTTTATAATAGGTATCTATTTATTTCAATTAAGCGGTATACTTTCGATTAAATGTTATAGTTAATTATATATCTATTGTAAAATGTAATTAAAATTCTTACTGAATTATATAACACTAATTGACTCTCATTTAAAAATACACATATTTTAAATGTCTCAATATTAATATAGACTTAACCATTTTATTATATTTTGATTTTTTGTAAATAAAGGATTAACATAATTTATCAATAATATAAGAATATAAAAATTGAACTGTTAATATTTAATTATCTATTCTATTCCAAACTACCTTAAAGAATTCAATGAAATTCATTCATTCTATAACATCAAATAAATTGATTTATACTATATTATTAGTACGTCATAATTTTTTCTACTGCAGTTTATAAAACTCTGAAGCAATATTTTAAAACTACGTCATTTTTTGAAAACTATTGGTCTACCTATGCTGAAGTCGAAAAATATTAACGATCTAAACCACGGCTGTAGATAGTATCTACATACATAATGTTGGTATAACTAAATATTACTCATCGGAACATAAAATAATAATACTAATTACTAACTAGTTATTAAATTGGTCTACTAATCAATATAGCGATACCAAAACCGAACGCATTACTAGTAAAACATTGACGATGTGTATTTTTACGCGATATGGGTTTTAATTTTTTGAGACACGAAACGCGCTCACAACTTACATATCACGTACAATGTAAAAAAGTAGCAACTGTAATATATATTATTATTAAACCTAAGTTCATTAACACAATTATAGCTATAAATTTATCATATATTACGTGTTATTATACATAAGTAAATAAGAAATATGTCACTTTACCTAGTCGGACAACGGGATTTGTATACACTCGTGTTCAGGCGATGCTCTATGTCCGGTCG